GGTTAATAGCTTGTTTAGAGAACCTTTTCATGATATGCTAATTTTTTGGGACAGGCATTTTGGGTTTTCATGAGCTGTATGACATAATCATCAGCATTAAAATAAAGACCTGAAATATTTCAGTTGGTGTGCAATGAATCTGAAATATATGAAAGTTTCATTTTTATCATTACATTATGGAAAATAATGACCTTTATCACAATATGCTAATTTTTTGAGAAGGACGTGTATAGAATGCAATTACCAGCGATGCATGTTAGCTAGGCAGCCCTTACCTGATATGAAGTGCTAGCTGCAGACTGTTGCATTTTTAATCTGCTCGTTCCAATCACTTTTTCTGATGGCTTGCCATCAAAGATGTCTCCTGTTAGCCTTGAAAGGGGTGCGAGTTGATGGAATTCCATAAAACTTGCGCGTTTTATTGTTTCTATCTAAACAGTTTTTGCAACCTACAGCACAAGACGATCACCGTTTTTCTGCGACTGACATGCGCCGGAAGTGACCCGGACGTGACATTGACTGATAATCCATCTATAAATGTTGATTAAGCAGTACACCAATGTCTCCCATCACTGACAAATTTGAATATTGAATGTTTGTAGTTTTTAAGATGAGCGTTTATCTGGACTGGAAACAAACAAGAAATGCAACTTAACCTTAATGTTTTTGGTGTAAAATATCCAAGTGGGAAGGAGTTACACTGTGTAGAACAGTATCCTGATGCATGCTCAATAATCCAGGTAGAAAAATCTAAAAAAGTTAAATCTGGTCCTCTGGACATTCAAAAAAACAAAACAAAGCAAATCAACAAAAAAATGTAGAAACGTTTCGTCTCTCATCCGAGAGACTTCCTCAGTCTGAGGAGCTGTATTCAGCTCAGTCTCTTAAATAGCACCGTCTCAGGGTGGATCAACCAGTTTTGCTGCTGACAACCAAAACCAGCTGATCACATGCTCAAGAAGGACCATCAGCATAACAATGGATCATTAGCACACTGATGGCTGTTTACTGTTCACAGAGCACACTGATGGCTGTTTACTGTTCACAGAGGGCTGAGTGATACTAGCAATC